CCATACAAGAAATTTTTTTCGAAAATACTTTATATGGAAAAAATGCACATACCAAAGAACTAGCCGTGGGTAACACAGTGCGCCGCCGCGCCATTGCGCTGATACCGAGAGCTGAGTTACTGGCGCCGATACCGATTGTCACAACTCAGTGACGCAATGGCGCCAGCAACACCGGAACACTGACAACACCAGACGGCGCAAAGAACCAGCAAAGAACACACAAAAGCGAAGCGTCACTTGTAAAATGTGCAGCGCAAGGCGAATTTTTACAAGGTGGTGTTGCTAAAATTTGCCGCAGTCCTTCTGAATGTGAAAATTATGTGTTTGTTGTATTTTTGGGTTTTGAAATTGGGTATACTTGAGTTGTTTTTGCCCAACTGATACTACCTTGTATTAATTCCCCTTAGTTCAACACCGGGTGTCGCAAAGAACAAGCAAAGAACACCCGAAATAGAAGTGTCTCTTGTAAAATGTGCAGCACAAGGCGAATTTATACAAGGTTCGTCGCGGTCCTTCTGAATGTGAAAATGATGGGTTTGTTGTATTTTTGGGTTTTAAACTTGGGTATCCTTGAGTTTTTTCTCAACCGATATAACCTTGTATTAATTCACTTTGGTGCAGCGTGCAGCAATAAAGGAAATGAGCTTTAGCCTGAAGAGGCGCCATTGCGCCAACACACTGTGCTGGTTCCGACATTGGCACTAGAGTTAGTGTGTCAGCGCCAAAAAATTTGCGCCGTTACCCAGGCCTACAAAGAACGTGAATCTATAAGAAGAGACAACACGTTATAATTAAGTCTGTTCCTTTGAACTTCGGACTTAAACCTGTGGAACTGTCAAACTACAATTTTACTCTCTCAAATGAGAGTAAAAGGAGAACAGATGCAGACGTGCATAGGAACGCAAAAAGCACTATTTCCTAAAAACGTCAGTCGGTTTGTTTACATGTCATTTGTACAACACTGATTTAGCTGAAATATCACTAAATAATTATTAAAATCTATACATATTCAAACATTTCGTTATTTACTTCCATTTTTTTTTACAAATATAAGGTACTTTGCTTTCACCGCTGTTTGTTTTTGCTTGCACATGCAAATCAGCTGATCGTTTGACACTTTTCATGAACTTACAGGACTTACTCCGGACTAAATCCTGTAACTTCTGACTAGGAACAGTCGCTCAGTTACTCTCTCAAATGTGTTCCCACTTACAGGTTTTATGTCAATAGGAACGACTTCCTGTAAGTTCTGAACAGACTAATTTAGTCTGTTCCTTTGAACTTCGGACTAAAACCTGTGGAACTGTCAAACTACAATTGTACGCTCTCAAATGAGAGTAAAAGGAGAACAGATGCAGAAGTGCATAGGAACGCAAAAAGCACTATTTCCTGTAAAAACGTCAGACGGTTTGTTTACATGTCATTGGTACTACACCGATTTGGCTGAAATATCACTAAATAATTATTAAAATTTATACATATTCAAATATTTCGTTGTTTACTTCCATTTTTTAACAAATATAAGCTTCTTTGCTTTCACTGCTTTCTGTTTTTGTTTGCACATGTAAATCAGCTGATCGTTTGACACTTACAGGAAAAAAATCTCCGGACTAAATCCTGTAACTTCTGACTAGGAACAGTTGCTCATTTACTCTCTCAAATGTGTTCCCACTTACAGGTTTTGTGTCAATAGGAACGACTTCCTGTAAGTTCTGACTAAATCCTGTAAACCGGACTGCTATTGGAACAGACTAATTGTAACGAGTGGAAACATCAGGAGCGTGCTTTCTCTTTTGCCCAAATACGTTTTGTGATTGAAATGTAAAGGCAACCCATTTCACTTGACAGACACTTGACCCTTATGGGCTGTTTTTGCTTACGCGTAAATGTACATTTAGCGCATTTAGCTCTAAATGCTACTCTAAATGTACATTTATCCATACAAAATTCGTCATCTAATAGGGCATTCGCACGAGGCGATTTTACAGGCAACAAAAGTTGAATACGTAGTTGAATGAGAAGTTGAAAGTGAAAAAGTTGCCATCCCTATTCAGACGAGGCGATTTTCGATTCAACACGAATCGTTATTTACATTATTGAAAATGAATTTAAATCGCAAAATTTGATCAATTGGCATAAATTTGGTAAGCCAAGCGTTGGTAGAAGTGCTTTTAGCGAAGCTGAAAGATAAAATAAGAGTAAAAAAGTAAAAAAGAAAAAAAAGTATGATACAGAACAGTGTTGGCATTTTTGGTACAATTGTACTTGTTTTATACAATTTCATTTACAATATACTTTCCTACTACGCAGTCCTTTTTAGTAAAATTTTGTAATGAATACTAAAAATATATAGCTCTGAAAATTCACAGCAAGAAATTTTTTGTGTTCTCTTTGGTTCGCCTGTTCGTATTTACCTTTGTAAGTTTTGAAAAATGGCTTCAACGAACCAGTATAATATAGCCTAGTCAAATTTTTAAAGAAACTTTTTGATACTAAGTTTTATTAAAACAAAATGTCGAAGTCAGCTTCATATAGAAACAAAGTCTTCGTTAGTTATAAGAAGAGATTTTCGTAAATATAATACCTTTACGGCACTCACATATTGACAAGATTTTACTATTTATTTTATTATTCTTTAATTTTAATTATCTGTTTGTAAAATATAATGTATTCTTTAAGAAAAACTGTACAAACCTAAGATTAAATCTTTGCGAAACATCCAAAAACCAACATACTTTCGTAAAAATTTCGAGCTTTATTAATATTCTTTAGTTTTTAGCCCATTCAATTTTAGTATAATAAAGTTCAAGTTTAAAGTAGCTGGGACTTACCTTGAACTTGGCATTTTTTTTGTCGACGATGTCAGCCATTTTCTTCCATACGAAGTGTGTCCGACGATTTTTTTATATGGAGAAAACTAGCAACACCTTCATCAAAGAAATCTTAAAAAACTTAGTTATATTAAAATTTAATGGGCTAAAAAACCGCACGCTCAAAATAAATCTAGGAAATCGAATTAAAAAGCTCGAAATTTTTACGAAAGTGTGTTGGTTTTTTTTTAATGTTGCACAAAGTTTGAACCTTGAATTTGTACAGCTTTTCTTAAAATATAAACCGTATTTTTACAAAAAATAATTAAAATTGAATACTATTAAGATAAATGGTCAAATCTTGTCGTAAAGTTTTGATAAGCACTTGAAATGCTATTAAAATGTCAAATTTTAGTACTGAATCCAAAGGAAAATGTCTCTTTTATCCATTAATAATAACTTAAATATGCTTTTTGTTAAGATGTATACCTGAAAATGTGTGCATACATATTTGCGTTAAATGCAGTACATGTGCACGTGGAATCAATTTGTAAAAGTGTAAACTACGTAAACGTATGTCCATAAACAATAAAACTTTCTGATGAATACCATCTTCTAGCATCCATAGGACCTCGTATAACT